GAAGCATTTCCGAGGAAAATCAATACATGCTACATACTTTGGATATACTCACGCAAACTAAGCATTTAATGTACCTTTTGAAATTTCTGTTTTCTTCCCAAAACAGTGTTATCGTCCTCGCTGAGAGCGGCCCCAGTGGAATGCCTCCATGGCAACAAGTGGAGCAGCAAAAATTTGGGACTAAGCCAAATGCATAAGGCCAAACGCCTCTGAAAGCTCAAACCAGTAACAGGCTCTTCCTCAGAAACAGTAAGGGGTAAACAATACAGCTGATTATATTAAAATTACAGGCTAGTCTTTCAAAACAGTCATGAAAGCTTTTGTTCTGAAGATTGTATATGGTGATAACAATGATGCACAAGTGAAACAACCCAAGTATCTTATAGAAAGTAAAAGGCATACAGAAATGTTAAATACCGAATACTCAAAGACAACAGAGCCTGTTTTCCACAGACTTGAATTTAATTTTTATTGATAGCACATCTACAATAAAAATTACCATTAAAAAGATTCTATTAATTGTCTTTTTATACACTTTCTTTTCTGCTAATCCATCTTAGATTTGAGAATGTAGTTAGAATATTCCATCAGTCAAAAGGTGACAGGTGGGTTACACCTGAGACAGGTCACAGTGCTAACACAGAAGAGATAAATTGGCATATTCCAAGCCTATAGCTGATTTAGAATCACAAGTTCAACTAACATGGTGGGGGAATGCAGACTCCACACAGAAAGACTGCAGCCAGCAAGCAGGTTTGAACCCTAAACCTCCTCGTTATGAGGCGACAGGAGCAAGGACAGCACCACTGTCCACCCTCCACACTGCGGTGTCCAGGTTTATATGTCGAGTGTCTTCAGTCCAAGACAGGGGTTTTGGAGTCTGTCAGACTGTGGGAGTAGACACTCAGGCAGCTGAATGATGCCGAAGGCCACAACAACAAAGACCTAACTAGGGAGCCAGCTGGCAGAAAATAAGAGATGTGAGGGACCAGGGCTGTTTAGCAGTGACTGAACTTGACGTGTCCCTTAGCATACTGACAGCAAGGGGGGTGGAGGGGGTCAAAGAAAATAAATAAATAAAATACAGATAACCCTCTGTGGGATCATGTCAACTATGAGTCTGGCTGACTCCTTTGAATTTGGGAGACAGAAGAATGAGAAAGCTCTAGCATACAAATGCCAGTCACAGAAGACAAAATACCACAAACTAGGTGACTGCAGGACAAAACAGCAAAATAACAACCTTGCATAATTACCCACAAGAAAGCAGTACTGATACTGAAACGGCAAAAGGACGCAAATTCCACCTACAGTACACACACGCACACGCACACATGCATGCACACGCACACATACACAGTTCGATGAAAGATCTTGCAGTGTCAGTGGTAACACAAATTCAAATCAATTTGAGACAGCGGTCACAAAATCTGAGGGCTCAAATCAGATAAATATAGAAAGACAACAATCCAACCTAGAAAGCGACTCAGTTTTATCATGTTATCCTGTCAAATGTTACACATACTTCTAATCTGTCTCAAATTTAAGAGAATGCAGAGCCACCTCTATGGCAAAGATACTGAAGTTTCCAAAGATAGTATGAGGTAAAATTACATCTTGAAACTTTGTTGAAAATGGCTGACAGTCAGTGCCATGACTGACCACACTGCTTTGCCTTTGAAGCACTTTTGCCTAATTCTAGATTTATAGCATTCACAAGGTTCTCAGAAAAAGTCATCTTGACCTCAAGTTTAGATGTCAAGATCACCGAGACTCAAACTTGCCTGAGATTTTTAGTAGATAGAACTATGGTATGAATTTGGAGCTCCTGTATGGTCCTATTGCATTTAGAAACTTAGGGTCCCCGCCCCCTGCCCTCCCATCCAGCAGTGTGTTAACAATACCTTATCAGCCTTTTGCAACTGAGGGAATAAAAAAAAGGGTAAATAAATAAAGGATAAAAAATGATTACTTATTTCTTACTGTATTGTCTAAAAATGTGGGAAGAGGATTACTACTCATGGTTATATATTTCTTAGATTGATTTTATATTCACTTTTTAATTTTGGTGAGACAAATCAAGTAATTGGAAGATGTCACCGACAGGTCTCCCCATTTTAAAATCATTCCTTTGTCAAAGTATTATAAGTGGTTTGAGATTTGTGAATTTAAAAGCCATTCACATCACTTCTATTGGCACGGGGGTTGCCAACAGAAGTGCCCCCAGCCGAACCAAAGGATTCCTTCACTGCAGAAGTCTAGCTTTTCACTTTTGTCTTTAAGAATGAACCCATGGCTTTTATTTTCTAGATAAATCAATTATTCTACAAAATAGGCAGTACTTGCGACATTAGTGAACAACTTTCTCTTGCCGTTTTGAAATGATTAATGACCTCTATAAAGAGACTTGGGACATATAGAGAACTTGAGCTGCCAAGCAGGGCAGATATGTTTCAAAACCCATCAACCTGATACTGAATACTCACTTAACCCAGCTGTCTCAGCCAATTTACAGACTATTCAACAATATTCCTCTTATTTCAGAAATTATTGAAAGGGGAAAAAACCCCAGCTAAATGGTCATCTGCAGAGGAATGGTTTATTTGAAGAGTTGCAGTCAGGATTTACACTTCATCATCTTGTGGCAACAGTGGACTCCTCTCTATGATTGCCCTGCTAGACCTCAGTGCAGCATTCACTGCCATAGACCACAATATTTTACTATACAGATAAGAACATGACACAGGTATTAAAGGTACTGTGCTGCAGTGGTTCGAAGCAAATCTATCAAACAGTTTGTTCATATAAATGAATCATATAAAAGGCGTTCCACAGGGTTCTGTGCTGGGACCAGTGCTTTCATACATTATAAAAGCTTCACTAGGGCAGTATCCTTAGAAGGCATAGCAAACATTTTCATAGACTACTTGCTTGTAGTTCCCAGGATATTTAAAAGTAAAATGGGATGCAAATCCTTCAGCTTTCAGGACCCTCTTCCGTGGAACCAGCTCTGAGTTTGGGTTTGGGAGACAGACTCCCTGTCTCTCAATACTTTTAAGATTAGGTTTAAAACTTAACATTTTGATAAAGTTTATAGTTTGAGCAAATCGGGTGACCCTGGACCCTCCCTTAGATTTGCTGCAATAGGCCTAGGCTGCTGGGGGCTTACCATGATTCACTGAGCATTTCTTCTAGACTCACCCCTTTTCATTCTCTCACTGCATTTTGCACTCCATCATCAGTTATTATTAAGCTCTTTCTTAATAGTGTGTCTTTTATCTCGTCTCCCTCCCCTCACCCACAACTGGTCGCGGCAGATATAGTCACACTCTCTCACACACACACACACACACACACACACACACACACGGCGTTTTTTTAAGAGCTTTGGACGCCCACATACTTCCGACTCCAGCTGTTTTCCAACTAAATCCAAGTTTTTAAGAAACGACGGCTGAGGTTTGATAATCCGTGAGTTTTTAAGCGGTACGTTTTCTCCAAACATGAACGTAAAATGTGCAGTCTGAAAACACAAAACAGCTGCTATAAACACACAAGCCCCGTTAACCCAGCTGCTAAAACTCACACGACCCTGCAGT